GTTTCTTTTTAGATGAAAAACTGCCACCTTTGAGAAATTCTTAGAGACTTTTCTTTAAAATGAATGAAATTTAGTCCATACTTATTTTTGTGTAATTGTTTAAATTTATCATCATCTATATTAAACATTTACCTCACACAATCCCTGTTCAAATCTTAATTAAAATTGTCATTGTAGCAAATTGCTTTGGTATTTGGGTTTGTACCCTCTGGATGGATGCAGTGTGTGCCTCATCCCTTCATAAGCATCCCAGCTTCAAAAGTACATGCTGCTGTGCACAACTAAAGTAAATTCAAGCTAAATTATAGATATGACTAAACGTATCCCTCTGGCAAAAGAATGCTGTAGTACGATTTTGCCTTGTTTATGAACAAATGAATTATTAAGGATAAAATGGTTTTTAGTGATTTTTTTTCAAATTATCTTTGAGGCTTTTCATGGCTCTAGAATTTTGTAGTAAATAGATGACAAACACAGAGCTGACCCAAGTATTCAACCCATTTTTTGTGAAGAAGAAACTTGTTGGAATTCTGTGCTTTACTTGTGCTTCCAGTAGAAACAATTTTAGGGTATATGCTCAACATTATAGCCCTTCCCCCACAAAGATGAAGCCATGGCAGCAATGATGATTTAAGAACATGGGAAAAAACAAAAATCACATTTTTTTCCTTCCCTGATTTTAAATAAAATAATCAGTCTTTTCATTGGTCTTGCCTCTTCAGACTTAAGCCAGAGCTACCAAGAAGTGATGTGGAAAGGCTGTCAGTGAGCAGAGACCTGTAACTCCCAGTCTGTGAAAAGCAAGCAACAGACACTCACCTGGACAAAATGATGGGGACTTGGAGTTAGCAAGCAAGGAATCCTCTTGTGATGAGCATTAGAAGGAATCTCAGGAAGGCACAGGGTCCCCCATGTACACATGCATATTTGGTGTCATTCTCTTATGCTCTCCTTATCTGGCTTGAGAATATAGATAAGCCTCTCTGGCATGTTCATTACTAAAGCAAGGATGACTAAAGGGTACTGTAGCTTCTACTCCTGACACAGGTTTTATGGAGAGATTAAGTCTAATAATAAAAATCATTTCCCAAAAAACATTATCTCTATTTTCCTAATGATTGAACATGAGCTTTGAGAAGTAAAACCCTTTAATTACTTGTATATTTGCCTATGACACTCTACTAAAAGGATTTGTTTTTGGTCTTTTTGAAACAGGGTCTCCCTGTAGCCCCAGCTGGCCTGGAACTCACTCTGTAGACCAGGCTGGCCTTGAACTCACAGAGATCCGCCTGCCTCTGCCTCCCAAGTGCTGGGACTACAGGCATGTGCCACCACGCCTGGCCTAAAGGGAGTTTTTAAAGAGCTATATTGTTCTACAGAGGTTGTCTGTGGTATAACATAAGCAACAACCCTGAGAAATAATAGGAATCACACTATTGGGTTCCACCTCAGACCTACTGGATCAGAACCTACATTTTAGTAAAATCCCCAGGTGATTTGAATATGTATTAAAGTTTGAGAAAATGGTCTTGTGACATTATGGCCAATATGTTGTTCATCAATATGAAAATGTTTAAATGAACCCAGATAAAGACTCATGCATTTACAGTGCTGATTTATAACTGTGTAGATATAAGCCTCTATGTTAGACATTTACTGCATGACTACTGTACATAGGCCACTTACATGGATGCCAGGGATTTGCAGATGAACAAGGTACATATACAAGATAGTTTCTGTGAGTTTTCATTGTTGGATATTTCTACTGTTGTGCACAGGTAAAAGAAAACAGACTGTATATGCTCTTCACAGTTGGCTTTTATTGTCTTAATAAAACCCATTACATTATATACTAACTTTAAAAATGAAAAAAAGAAAAAGAAATTGGCTTTTATGTTCCTTGGAGTCTTATGCATCTAGGTGACTTAGTAACTACGGAGCAAGAATTTAAGCTTTGTTTAGCTTGAGAGGCAGAAACTTATTGCATAAGGAAATAAACTATATTTTGATCAAGAATCTGAAGTAGATTTGAGCTTCCAATGAATTGTTTTGCAACTTTACCTATTAAATTTTTAAAAAAGAGATTATTCAGTATTATCTTTAATTAATGGTTATGTGGTTGTTCTAGTTTGCTTCTCTGTTGCTGTAATAAAACACTGACCAAAACCAACTTGAGGGAGGAATGGGTTTATTTGGTATATACTTCCGTGTAACAGTCCATCTTTGAGAGCAGCCATGGCTAGAACTCAAGGCAGGCAGAAACTGGATGCAGGAACTGCAGCAGAGATGACTAAGGAAGTTGCTCACTAGTTTGCTTTTTCTGACCTGCTCAGCTAGCTCTCTTATACAAGGTGGTTCCACCTCCTACATCAACTAGCAATCAAGAAAATCTTCCATAGACATGCATACAGACCAATCTGATGGAATTCCTCAGTTGCTCATTCTTCCCAGGTGATCCTAATTTATGTCAAGTTGTCAAAAACTAACCAGCACAGTTGTATTAGTTACAAAGTAGGTGAAAAGGAAAGAGTAAATCCACTGGCTATAAAATGTAAAGACTCCAGTGAACATATTGTGTGTTCATACTAGCATACAATAAATAGTATTCCTATTCCAAATATAGACGATGGCTCACTATTTATTCTGTCCTCTAAAATGCCCCCCCCCTTTTTTCTTTGAGACAGAGTAAATGTAGTAATTGTCATGTTCTGTGAGATAGAGTAGATGTTTTGTGTCTTTGTGTGATGAAGTTTAACAGGATGGGGCAGGAGTCATCTGGTGGGGAAGAATGAAGAGTGAGGTTAAGTGCAATGATGGGTTAGCTAGCAAGGCAGTGTGTGATATAGGCTGAGTGACTTGGGGAGTGGCAGGCAGGAGAATGAGAAGAGCAAGTGCATTATGACAAACTAAGCACAGCCTAGGCACTGTCTACTCTGTACTTTGCAAGCTGCTCCTTCTTCTCCTGGAGAAAGAAAGCCAAGAAAATCTAGACTTCAGTAGTTAGGATTGGTTTTCTTGAGCCAAACTCATTTTTCCCAGGAATTTAGCACTTTGACTAGGAAATGCTGGTCTCAGCCCTGGCAGATCCCTAGAACTGGCAACATATGGACCCAAGAGCATCATGGCATTTGTGCTATGGCATTTGCAGAAGGAAGGATGAACCAAGGAGGCAGGGCCCTCTAGCTCCCTAGAGAGAGGAATCCTAGGCAATGATGCTAGAAGGCTTGCTTCTTAATTCACTCAAAATCCCGGAACGGCTCTGCCTTCCAGATCAGAGTACCCTCCTTGTCTACTAGGTCTGTCTACTTGTGCTTACATTGGCACCAGTGGGTCTCCCTAAGTTGGAACTACAAGTATTTGACTAGATCTGGAACTGATAGTATGCCTGCTCATTTCTTGCCTGTCACTTTCTTCTGGATTCTGGATCCTTTAAGAGAATGACTGACTCATGGCACTTTTGGTGCCACTGGGTGTTGAGCTGAACACAGTCTGGGAGGAGTGAGGGCATATGAAGAAGGAAAGCAGAAGAGAATTTCTTTGGATGCCTCACATCCAAATGCTAAATGTTTCTTTATAATTACACTGCAGTGTACAAAGGATGTAGTGGTAAAACACAGCAGTAGGTTCTTACATTCATAACGCTTAGGTAGATCTTAGATGAGTACCAACCACAACTCGGTGAGGATTATAACAGGGAAAATAATGTGATAAGGACATGGTTAGCAGCACTCACTGAAGAAAGTGCATTTAAACTGTTCTCAGTACAGAATTTTAGTATGTGTCTGTGCTCGGACTTGAACTCAGGACCATATATGTGTCTACTGAGCACATACTCTACCACAGAACTATACCCCTATTACCTCTGTAGAGATCTGGGGTGACTGCTCACTTATTTTGTAGTTTCCTGTAAGCTAGCTGCTGGAATGCGAAATCACAGCAAATATGTGTTCAAA